GGCTATCATTTAGAAAATTTATATACGGAGATAGATTTGAAGTCTTAGCTGATGTCCTAATTTAGTATTAATAAAGAAACTTGCAAGTATCTTGCAAAGTTAATGCATCAAAACATTCTTCTGATAAAGGTTAAAAGGCTTCTAACATTATGCTATACAGGGAATCAGTTAAAACCAACTTCTTTCTAAAGCCAGATTCCTTTATATGTGTGAGAAGAACACAAAATATTTGAATAACTTGAAAAAAAAAAGAGGATCTCAATGACCTGCAATCTGATGGGGAGCTACATTTATTGTTATAGATTTATGGTCAAATTCGAAAAGAAATATGTGAAAAACTGTAGCATTTCACTGATAATTGTATTTTAAGGAAATGTATTAAGAAATGTCCTTTTTCATTTTTTTAACTTGTTTTTTATCTTTAGCTGTCAACCTGTTTAAAAATGCCATCAATAAAAAGCAGAAAAGGCTGAATGTTTATTCAATAATCCTTTCTTTGTGTATCACATTATTCATGCCAGACAATGGAAAACATCTAAAAAATGTTTATAAGCCTGAAATGTGAGGATTATAGGCAACATAAACAAATGTGAATCTCTGACGCATATTAAAATAGTTATAATTAGCCTGAGAGTATGTGAGACATGGATGCAATACCAATACCATGTCTCTCACAGGAAATTAATGTCTTGAGAGGTGATGTAGCAAGTTTAAAATACACACTTTACGATAAACAAGATCAAAAGGAAAAACAAAAAAGAATCATTTTTATTTTGACTTGCCAAATACCATTCTGTCATTGGTATCTCCACTGTCACCACTTTCAGGACATTATGGCATGTCTTTATGAAGTAATGCTAGCAATGCTTCCCACAGAAATGTAATTAATAATGTACCAAGTGTTTCTTTGGCAAATGGCAAAAAGCAAGACCGACCTTTTGCTCCATGTACGAGGGAGCCTGATGAGGGCATTTTTAGCTACTACATCATTGTGGCAAGACTTCTTAGCTAAAGCCTGCAATTAGAAGTCAACACACCTCAGTTCTTTGCTTTCACTAGTGAAACATGCTTTCAAAGGCAACTACAAACCTTGAGCCAGAGTGCAACTCTGCTTATTTCTCTAAGAAGCTAAACTTCTTTGGACTACATGGGTCCCTAACTGCTATTCAGAAACAACTATATTAATTTAATGTAGGCTTAAAAAAAATACAAAAATGTGTTCTTAGCTCTACTAACGTTGATTCTTCAAGCCTTAGAACAGTATTACTGGACAGATCACAGCAAAGACAGTATTTGATTAGCCTGCTCCTGAAAGCACATGGACTTAAATTATACTCTGGTAAAAAGTGTTTCATACACCAGTGTTTCTTTAGCACATTTATGATCTATTGATGAAAAGGGAGTGTTACGAAATCTTTTCAGATGATATTTGGAACTACCATGTGTGTTTTTTAATAGCAATCTTGTGTACTAGTTACTTGCTGCTGCAACAAAGCTTTCAGTATCTAAAGTACTTAACGCACATTACGTATTTCAGGTAGCTTAATGTGGGCTGTCATGCTGCTCATGAAGCAGGGACATACAGACGGGAAGGTGGAACATGCTGGGCTCTGCATTTTAACATCTATCGCTCTGTCATAAAGAAAGTGACCTACTGGAAGCAAGATGGATTATATTATACCTGTTATAAATTGAGTCTCTCTATACCTCTCTATATATTGACTATAGTTGAACTTTCAGAGCCCATTTTATATTTGCACTGTTTGATATTGCATTGACATTGTACATGATCTGAACATGAGTATAAATTATATTGGTTTATGAATAATTTATAATCAGTGGGTATTCCCCGTTAGGAGAGAAGGTGAAATCTTGTCACAGACTCTTTCTGTCCAAGGGGAGAGGTCAAATTTTTAGCTCAAGTCTTTGGCGTATAAAATAACGAGGGGAGGAGAAGGGTCTAGAGAGCTAAAAGAGAGTTTCAGTGTGAACAAGAATTAGGCCCTTTCAGGTCATGTCTACATGTGTAACTACAGACAGTCAGGAATTAATATTGCCATTTACTGAGGAAGTCGGACATGAGGCAATGTTTGACCAGAAGCCAATGTAAAGATGTACAAAAATCTCAAAACACTAATACAACCTCACCCTCTAGAGCAACTACTGCATTTTCTGTTTGGCCTTCCTATGATACAGACAAGGAATTCAAAGATTTGTTAATAAAGATGTTATTTGTCAATGACATTTCTAAAACAAAACAAATATTCAAGTATTCCCTCACTGATCTCAATTTTGGAAAGTGTATAGAAAGTGTGTGACAAATGATTTCTTCTTTATTAAAACCTTCTACATAAATAGGTTCAGTGCTAACTTAGAATTTTGTAATGGAAGCCAACAGAATCATATGGAAATATAATACAAATACGTTTGACTATATGATAGCATGGCACCCAAAATTCCACAAATTGCACTGTCCTGTAGTTATGCAGAAATAATGTAAAATAAAAACAAGCTCTAAAGCTTTGACTGGAATGTGGAAAAGCAAGATATTATTGCATATGGCAAAGCCTGCATACTGAATAGCTTTTTCTGCTGGATAACAGAATTGCTTCTCAGAGATTTGAGGTTTGAATACAATCTGATTTTCTATGACTGTGGTCTAATTCTCTTTTATTGTCACCACTTTAAGTAGCAGACACTAAATCAGCAGTTTTACTCAGAGTGTAGAGAGAAGGATTAAGGGATCTGTCAAAGCAAAAAAAGGAAAACAAAACAAAACCCACCCTTTACAGCTTTCTGTGATAATCATAATATTCAAGAATTGACATTAAACAACACACACTGCTAATGGGAAAGATATACAGTAGTATAAATCTTATCCGGTGAGATCTTCTTCTCACCAATCACCCATCAGAACCCATCAAACACCCATCACCCACAAAAACTTCTGTAACAACTGCTTTTGCATATTATTGCAATTCAAAACGTAAAATGCTTCAGTACAAAAATGCTGGTAACACACTAGGGCTGTAGCTTTTGTTGCAGAACTTTTGTCGCAGTCTATCGCAGAAAGGTATACTGTTCCATGTATGGTCCTAGAAATAAAAAAAAGTGATGGAAAGAAATAAAAAAGATGGCTGAAGTTCATCTAGAAATCTATTCATATCACATCAACATGATTAAACACAGAATGTGAGACAGCAATATACAATAATCAACTTTATTTTACACCAACTCTGTTTCTCAAATGAGTAATGTGTAGAGCAGTGCCATCCTAACTGCAATTGATGAAGACATGAATTACACTTGCTTGGGACCTTTAAGCAAATGAAAGCCTGCAATCTGCAGGACAAGACCTGGAGATGAAAAATACTCAAATTCTCCATAACTGCATAGCCTTGAAACAAAACAAGACTTACATACCAAAACTGAGTGACAGAGTGGGAAAGACAGTCAAAAGAGAATCAAAATTATCCAGACGATCCTTTGTCTGTTCTCTGCAGGTAAAAAACATCAATTGTTCTGCCAGAAGAAATAGAATGTATCAGTCAAACAAGGTAGTATAAAAAGAAGACTGATTTTTCATTCATTAGTTGTGAGAGGTCCTTGTATAGTAAAACCTAGATTTACTTCTTCAGTGAATCTTTACAGTCATGCAGAAGATAAAAGAATTCATTTTTGACTACAAAACTGAAGCATTTAAAAAGGTTTAAACAAAACACCCTAATATACCCTAAATATGCTGTAATACCCATTTTATTTTGCAGAATACATTCACACCATTTGGAATTCCTTTACTGATGCAAGAAAGGGCATTATGTATGAAGAGTAACCCCAATGTAAAAAAAATCCAACCCTAAACACCAAATGATAAGCGTGTCTGCACTATAAAATGTCCATGAGTCCCCACTCAATCACAAGCCCAATACAAGAATATCATTGTCAATTTATTTACATTCATAAGCATGAATAATATTTTTATTTCCCCTTATTTCATTCAGAACTCTAAACTAAGGCTCCAAATCTACAATCAGTAGAGTGTAGGCACACTGCCATTAGCAAGACTGGATAGCCCTAATGATCCAAACCCAATACAATCAGTGGGGAATATTTCTACTTTCTTCAGTAGATTTAGAAAGGGCGTATGAGGTCAGCATCCTGCACTCATCCTGTCAGAAATTCCACTGAAGCAGTACAGTATCAGTCTCCACATAATTACATGCATCTTTTTACTGAAACTGAAGTCAGTCACATTAGTCCTACTTTCTTGAGAAAAAGATTTTTGGAATCAGACTTGCTTAAAAAAAAAAAAGAAAAAAAGCATATACCATACATTAGTTATTACAACAGAACACTTCTCAAATGCTTTGCTCTACTGTAAAAAGATGCAGTGTTTAGTTTTTAAACTTTTCTATTACTAGAGTTGTTTTTAAATGATTAAGGAAATGGCAGTCAATGCTCTAAAAATTCAGTATTTATCTTCTGTTATAAATCCAAAGTAATAGAAGGTAATAAGCTCTTCAGGCTCACTTGAGGCAATGCACTTGGGCATATACTTTGGAAATACACGTAGACTTGCACAAATACTTAATTAAATCTTTTCCTCTATTTAAAAAGAAATATCGAAACCATGAAAAAATTACTGAGACACATGATACCACTGTTTAAATAGTCGTAATAGGGAAACGTTTTCATTATTGCTTCAGTTACACAGAATATCAATCATGGACTACTAGGAAATGCAAAGAAACCACAATCATAAATAAAAACATACATTTTTTTCAGTAATTTTCTTATTCTTTATTTTCTAATCTAATAAAGGTAGCTAAAAGAAAAAAAATCCAAGAACAAACATTCATAAATATTTCTATCAGCGATAGCTTCAAATCAATATTGAAATGATGATAAAATCTCAAATGATTACAAATGATGAAATTTGTCATTTGCTACATTGAGATTTGCTGCTCCACAAAACACACTGTATGGGTGCACTCAGAACGTCACTCTGTTTTTTCTTCAGAAGGCTGAAGTCCATCTTCCTTTATTAAAGTGTTTAATTGTTTCTGTGCACATGAGAGGAAGAGTTCCAAACTCAACAGATTTCTCTGACGGACAACTTGATCAAGCTGTTGAAACAGAAGAAGAAAGATCATTTTTAAGAAAACCTGAAGATAAATGCCAGAACTTGTCAGCAAAAATTCAACCACTGAACAAAAAATCCCAAATAACTTACATGAGTGCAATTAAGTAACATTTTTACTTAAGCATTTCTGATTCTCAAGAATGAAACACATGCAAGTTTAAAAATAATTTTTCAACACCTGCCAAATCCCACAAAAGTGTGGTAACAAGAAATTTGAAAAACATTGACAACACATTTTGTACTTTTTACCTTATAGACACTGGTGCAAAGAATTAAGCCAGTGTCATTGCTGTTTATCCTCCTTTGACCAGTTAGCCAAAGCATATGTTGTACATATTCTGATATGGTTATCAATAAAAGGGATAGGACTTTTAACCAATTCTAACAGAACATTATTTTCCCAACAAACCCATTAGAAAATATGTGGATACTAGTACGGAGAGGGAGATTATAACATGCGATAAAACCACAGCTCTGCTATTTGGTATCCAGCAAAAAAGGGAGTTTTAGTTCCAAGGTTCACCTCGGAGGAACAGGCAAGGCTTTCGAAGGCTGTTTTATGAGAAATTTTTGCTCATAGGTAGCCAGCTGTTTTTGTCCTTCATTAATTGGCTGAATTTGCTCCACTACGCAGCAGCTATTTAATTTGATTTACAAAAATCACAAGGGCAACTGGTGCACTGGGTGAAATATTACAGGGGTATAGACTCTGGGACATGAAGATTTCCATGTTGGAGATGCATTCATTACAGCAATAACATATATTTGCTTGCAGGTTTTACACTTGCTACTCAGGAATAGCCTGACCCAATCCCACACATTACAGATAGAATTTGCTTCTGATAATAAATTTAGCAAGATTAGGGGTGGGTGAATTTGAACTCTAAAAATACATGCTACCTTTATCTACAAACCTCCCTATGGACACATAGTTTATGTGAACTGATTTCCAAAGCATCACGATGAATTCAATTTTTAGCTTTTATTAGCTGTATTCCTGATTGCATTTCCTACCCACAGCATGTACACATTATTCTCAGGTGAGTGAAGTACTGAATAATCTGAGCAACATAATTCCTTCTGTTAATTTTGAGTGTCCTCATTACAATACTTCCTTTATAAGGATGCACGAAACCCTTAGATAGTATTTGTTAACTGCTTTTATATCGAGGAAAATGTAGTTTACTCAGCTCAGAATATGTCCTCATATTTTTTACTTAAATCTCATATTGATTTCCTAACTTCCCACTTAAAAATGTTTATTTGTTTATTTATTTATTATCTATTCTAAATAGAATCCAAATATAAATAGGTAACTAAAGAAGGTGAATGGAGCATTAATATCCTGGGGGACCAAGTAAGGTCAAAGGAATGTTCCCACTGCATTCAAAGCAGCAAAAAGTCCAGCTGTAAAAAAAACAGATCTTTATAAACCCTGTTCTCCATAGAATGAAATTTGAATTGAGCTGCATTCACCTATATGCAAAAAAGTAGATCAATTCAACTGAAAAGAAATGAAGGGAAAAAAATGAGTTGGATTGGCTAGTACTATCAGAAAAATATTAATATAAATTACTTTTCCTAAAGGAGTGATTTTCTGATTTATTTCATCAAACATTTTGTTCTTTCAGTTGTTAGAATCTCGTATGGTAAGGAATTGTGAACTAAATACTTCCGGTAAAGGAAATGCACCCCATTCTTCTCCTCCCCCTCAAAAAAGATAACCGAACAATATGAATGACATAAAAACATAGTTAGGAAAAGGTATTTGAAGCTGCTTAATGCCATAATATTAGTATACAAAACATACAATAGCCTCCCTTTCACTTTAATTGAGTTCAAATGTCAAGTAAATATCACAGCAGAATGATTTTTTGAATCCTTTGAATCCTCTCCTTTGATCAGCTACAGATACAACTGAATGTATATACAATAAAAACATAGGGTGAGACTGAGAGGTATAGGTACGCCACTCCTGAAAGTAAGTAATGGAATTTGGAAGCAGTCTAGCTTTGCACCACTGCAGTGCACTGCAAACTGTAGCATACCAGTGACTAACCAAGGTCTGGAATTCCTTAAATATAAGCAAAACAGCAGTGTGAGGCCACACAGCCATACAAGACCTACAGTGTCCAGCATCTGCAAATAGCCATGGTTTTTGAAAGCATGTTACATGTCCCATTTATAGAGAATTTGTGCTTTCATCAAAAACTGCTCTTGCAGTATGTTTAAACATATATAAGGACATAGTCCACCATTCGGCAGTTCCCATAATGCCCTAGCAACCATTTGAGTGGATATCCTGCCCTGTAAGAGAGATCCACTTTTTAGAATCAATACAACATGCAGTGCAAAGTTGGTTATACCTTCCCACTTCTCCTTGAAGATGCTATGTTTAAATGCATTTAAAAGAAGAACAAATTGATTACGAAAATAGAAACAAATCCTGTGAAGATTTGTTATGTAATATATTGTTTAACAAAGTGTTATCAACACAGTCAGATGAATGCTTTTGAATAGTGCCTTGATATGGCTGCATTTCTGCTTGCATAATGTACTATTAGACATGAAAATATTTAAGTAAGGCATACATGAAAATATTTAAGTAAGGCATTTTAAACTATTTTTCTCAACAGTGTTCTCTCTATTTTTAGGTCCTGTTCACTTCATGGAATGATCTCATTATTTAAACAAACATAAATGGACATCTGGCAAATTCAAAGTGAATATGACTCATATGCAAATGTGATCACTATGAATAACACATATTAGGAATGGAGCATTCATGCAACCAGGCCCAACTGTGCAAATTCTATAGATACTTAAAAATGCACTGTGCTAATCACATTAAAGGGAGATTTTTCTATCTCAGATCATCACTATTTTTATTACTAATCAATGTTTTTCTACCTCTATGTGAAATCCAGTTCAAAGTTGCCAGATTTGAAGACTGTATCCTATTGGCATAGATTAAATTAGCACAAAGTTTTAATGCTCCTGGTTTTCTGAACTCTGCATTATTTTAAGATGTTTAGTATCTTAAGACACTTAATGCCTTTTAAAATTCTCCAACATTTTTTTGAAGAACCAGAAGGTGTCTTTCTATGCACTTGTGTCGCACCTACTGAGGAACTGAATATGCAACATATGGAAAAGCAGTTCCCAAACTGAGCAAGTGTCTATGTCATTCTTGCAGTTTCCACAGCTATAGAGAGCCATTCATTTTCCAAAAATGAGCTGATTACTGCATGGCATTCTAATTCTGAAATGATGTTTTATTCACTTGTGTTTAAAACTTCTGTCTTCTTTTGTGATCTAAGTGTAATTCTACCATTATTCTGGCCAAAGACGCCTGAATGAAACTCCCTGTGGGACCCAATCTCAGTCACGTCCTTAGGCCCTAACCCTAACTCCCCTCACCCAAATATGACAAGAGAGGCATGTCCTGAAGAGAGACACAGAACTGGAATTGCTGGAAGTGAGAATTTCATCCAAGAAATAAAACTAAAGATTCAGACATAACAATGCAGAATACTGCCACCAGATCATCGTTTTAATTCCAGGCTGCTCTATTTTATGTCATTTCTTTTTTCTCATTAAATACAATTTATGTTATTCACGGATCAAACTAAACTTAAGAATTATCTTTCTTAGGTCCTCATTTTCCTCAGTGTATATAATTAAGTTCAATGTTTCTGTAGAATGGAATGAAATCTACTGATGCCTCAAATAGAAAATACTCTGTTTCCTACAGAGATAGCTGAGCTTACACATCTTTAACATTTTCCCTTCTAACATAACTGACCACAAATAAAGGTATTCTTGTGACATGAATTTTTAGCTTCCTCTATTCACCATTCTCCACGCCTTTGGACATCTAAAATTGATTATAGAAAAAGTCACAGATCTATAAGTAATTTACATTTTACATTTGGACATTGAGGGTTGAAATTCTGATCTCAAAGTGAAGACAACTTTTGTTATTAATGTCCATGTAGCATGAACTTCATACATACAAGTGAAGACATGAAAGTTAATATTACACGTGGAAGGTTAATGCCACCTTTCCTTTTAACATAAAGACTTATTTTTTGTCCACACTTTCCCAGGGAACATCATTTTCTACACCTTGAAATACAAATGTGTATTGAACAATTTATCTGGAACTTCAAATAACGATAAGACATTTCAACTCACAATTTTGGCTATTTAATACTAAGAGGAGTGGAAGATGTAATGCTCTTCATGGGGTTCAACAAATACAATCACCAGAGAATGAAAAGAGCAAAGTTGTGTAAAGTTATTGAGTAAAAAGTTGATAAATTTTACTTTTATTAGTGGTATTTTTTTATAGTTGACTATGTTTAAATAAAATCATGACATTTTCATTTGTTAATAAAGGAAAAAGAATTTTCCTTAAATATTATGAAATCAAAAATCAGCTTTTGAGTTGTCCAGATTTTTTATGAAACTCACAAAAAGAATTATATCATAAATCATTTTGTCCTGATGATCATAAATATCACAGAATGCTTAAGGTTGGAAGGGACCTCCAGAAGTCATCTAGTCCAACCCCCCGGACACACAGGGTCACCTAGAGCATGTGGCACAGGATTGCGTCCAAGCGGGTTTTGAAGATCTCCAGAGAAGGAGACTTCACAACCTCTCTGGGCTGCGTGTTCCAGTGCTCCGTCACCCTCACAGTTAAGAATTTTTTCCTTAAGTTCCTGTGGAACTTTTGGTGCTTTAGTTTCTCTAGTTCTATCAGTGGCCACCACTAAAAAGAAGCCAGCACCATCCTCCTCACTGCCTCCCTTGAGGTACTAATACACACTGATCAGGTCTCCTCTCAGCCTTCTCTTCTCCAGGCTGAACGGGCCCAGCTCTTTCAGTCTTTCTATATCTTTTGATGTATATGTTTATATGCATCCATAAAGTAAAATAATAAGAAGTGGACTACAAATCCTGAAATGTATGCTTTAT